CCAAAAAATTTTGTTGGTGCATGTACCAAACACCGTGTATTTTTAACAATTCAGCATGTCCACTGAGGTGAGCTAAAAAACTAATTTTTCCTCTTTGTAGGTCAATCAAACTAGATTGATTATTGATTTTTGTACTTGCAGTACGAAATTCTTCTTCATCAATTCTTTGAAGACATAAATAAATTACAGACTGCTTTTTAGTTAACAATCATCGAGTATATATTCAATTTACTTGACTACCGCGCCAAAAAAACTGTTTCTTTCTAAGTACTTTTATGGGTAACACGTGTTTAAAGCCAATTTTTCTGGATTCTTGCAACCGAGAGCCAATGATACCGCTAGCGTCCTCTACTGGATGTTACGAGCAGGCCGCAAATCATCCTTTTTGATTGGCCGAATTTTCGACTAGGTCGCAAATCTTGCTTTTTGATTGGTGTAAATTCTGCACTAACCGCAAATTTTGTATCCGGGATCAAATGAAAGAATAGGTTTTTGTAGCTAAGCTAGGTAATAGGTATATACCTATTACCTAGCTTAAATATTTCATGATTTAATAAGATAATTAGGGACGCATCTTTGATAAATCCTATAATTTTTCTCTAGTTTGAGCTATATTTTACAAGAAATTGTCTATAAGTATGCATTAGATCCATTGCTACAAAAACTTCTTCTGATTGTCGAAAATTCCTTATTGGTCGAAAGCTCTTTGTATCTCCTCGATATCTTAGGCGGTTAAACTTAGTTAAACCCTTCTCTGATGCAGACATTGCGTTGGCTTTATGTGACAGTGTTATCGGACGTTAGGGATATTATCTCATACAAAAGTGCTCGAACAATAATAGCATACTTCCTCCAAGGTATGTATGTATGTATTAAGCAAGCCGTCAAATTTTTTTTTCAAAAAGCCGTACACATGCATCTACGGGTTTTGTGGTAATATTGTACAAAAATGGATTATATAAAATATCTGAGCAGTCTCAATAGCACTTGGGATGATGTACACTTATTTTTAAATATTCTCAATGCTACATAACCTTGAATATAGACAAAAATCGCTATTTTTGTACTTTTAGGTTGGTAGATCTCGGAAACTAGAATCAATTAAGAGATTTGGACTTCGGATTCGGTGTTTAAAAAGTTTTCGGGAAAATGTACTCTGGTTTCTGGGTAAAAATCTTGCCAGTCTGTGTTATCTACGAATGGCCGGACTCGACTTTGTGAATAGGTTTTCCGAACGTTTACTTAAACTCTTGACTTCTCGTATCGTGTGTGCTCCTTGTAGTCGTAAAGCTTTGACACAAATTGGAACCGTTAAAAAGCTGATAAGGCTTATCATCTATTTCCTCCGAAACACGTTTACACGGCTAGCCACGATTTGCGGGTAGACCTCAAGGATATCAATGCCTTCTACAAGGTGTGCGCGAAAAATTGGACTTTGACTCGAGCAGCAATGTGTAATTTATGAAATAATGATGTATGATGTTTAATTAGCATACTGGATTGTATTACACACAATTACAATTGAAATTTAAGGTTATTTATAGATGTTTATGCACAAATATGAACCATCTGGTTGGTGTGAGATGGATATACGTATATAATGCTAACTTGTTTATAGATGAGATGCATCATGATGCAAAGGACATCAAAGATCTCTCTAAGATCACAGGTTCAATATGACGCATGTCAAAAGTGATCAAGTGTCCTCACTTGTGCTTGTTATCAATTGAAGTAATTGCATGTTAAAAGCATTTACCTACTTGATAATTGCAACTGGCTTATCGAAAATTAGTAGGAGGTAAACTAATGTAATGAAAAAAATAATAACTTGTTGCGTTTCTGAGAAAAAAGTATTTAAAACACTAACATAAAGTTCTGTGCTTGTATTTTGACTGTAAGGATCAAGTCACGTGACAATTCATATTGCGCAATCACTACATTGTGTCATCAAATATGACCGAGCTTCTTCAAAGAATTTTTGCGTAATTAACGAAGTTCAAGCCGTACATTGTTTTGAAAATTCATTTGTACATACATTAAGCTTTAAGTTCAAGAAATGTCGGTATGTGATAATACTAAAAATATCAGATAAATACTATCTGCGTTTGATTATATTTTGATAATTCAAGCTTAAGGTAAACCATTTTTTAGTGGTGAAATAAATAGTTAAGAGTTCAATAATATAACTAAATGACAATGGTAGCTAAAACGAGATTCTGTCAAATTAGAGAGCTTCCTACCGCATCTCATAAAAAGTCCAATGAAAAAAAAAATAAACAATGCGAATGCATAAACGACAGAGATAATTAATTTTCCGATAATAACATTATGTCAAAATAAAGATAAACAAAAAATTAGGTTACGCGCTGATAGTCCCAGAACCGCTGGCGCAAAGATCCTTCTACCTTCTGTATGGGTCCTTCGCTTTTTTAACAATTTTTGTTTCTTACCTTAATGGCCGTATGCAACGGAACAGCTCCAGATCCCTTTCTCGGCATTTTGGCTTCCGGTTAAAATTCCAACAAATTAAAAAAATAATGATTAAAAATAGTTATCACAAAAAAATAACACAAAGCGGCCTCCGCACAGTCTCGATTTGAACTTGAAGCTACGAAAGCCGTACGACAAATGAAAGTGCGGGGGAAAACAGTCGAAGCCCGAATCGCGGTCCGCGGACGTCGCGAAGTGCAGTGGTGGGGAGGCGCTAGGGCACGGGCGACGCGTATGGGTGGTGCTAAGGGTACACGTGTTTTACGGTTGAGTTTAGATCAGCATCTTTTGTGTTTCTCCTTTTTTTTCCAACTGAGCTACAATTAAAATAGATTATTGTCTAAGCCTTAAGACTCTATCAATCATCAGGCGTGTTTAACGATTTGAAAGAACACTATCAGGAGTTTATATCTACAATGTACGTAAAATTATGATCTATTTTTAGGCAAATAAAAATACGGTAGCATGTTGTCAGAAGAAGACTTATTGAAAATAAAGTCCCGCAAGGAAAAACATCAGCTCGGATTTTAAACTCTTTACTATGCACAGTGGGCCAGGAAGTGCGAAAAGCGGCCAAAAATCTAGACATTGGCTAATGCTTTAAATTACGAAGCTTTTGGTGGAAAAATCTGTTAGGGGTGACTTTTAGGGAGCATTGAGTAGAGATCACTTTGCAATATCAAATATATTTATATAAAAAAATATTACACATATCGGCACAAATCATGATTACATCAAAATATCAAAAATTCTAAGTGCAGGATAAATATATTCTTGGTATTGAAACTAAACGTCTGAAATCGTAATTTTCTATTATTCTCGATCTAGGCAAAATGTTACTTTGCTGTCCGTCGATGAACAAAATACGAGTGTTTGGTATGTTTTGCTTCAATCATTACTGACAAAGCTTCATCCGGGGTGAGTGGAGTGATTTCTCTTATGTTCTGAATCCTTTGCCTAGCTTTCCACATTTTACTGGCTCTAGTCGTAGCCGTAAAAATTGCTTCTGAGGCAAGTTTTGTGGCAGCGTTATTTAGCTCCTCTGCTTCGAATGCGGCGTTTTGTTCTTTCACTAATACGCGGTGATACAAAATTTTGTTTTTCAATTTTAACATGGCTTGTTCATCGCCTTCGATGTTTTAATGTCCCAGCAGGTAATTGTAAAGAGATTTCGTACAATCTGAACGTCCTAGAGCCTCCTTTTTTTTGTCTTTTTGTCGCCACTTTCAAACTAAAAAGATAACTACCGTCACATCTTAACTAAAAGGCTAACTTCATGATCTGTTAAATCGAAAAAATATCTCAACAAGAAACAGCACTTGAAGGCGACTATCCCATTCTAGTATGTTATAAGGAAATATTGAAGCTATATTATCAAAATTATCTGAAAGCGAGATATAGCGTGGATATTTTTGTTGCTCTACACAAACTTAAATTATAAAATGTAATATTCAGTAAAATTAACCACACCCTTATTTTATCTATATATCTACTCAATTATTTCCATGTCAGAAGTATATATACAGCATCAAAATACATACCTTGAAAAAATTTCGAAATTCCGGGAAAACATGCAATGTTAACTCCTCTAAGTACCTGAAATTCTGATGATAATACTAATACTCTTATAAATATTCATTTATGATCGCTTTTCGGATTATCCGGCCCATTGTGCTATGGCCTAAGAATATTCGTTTAAAAGCAAAACTGACAATCTACCGGAGACAGGTAGGGCCTGTTTTGACATTTTCTGAGAAGCCCATGTCGGGTATTCAGGATGTATCAAGAATGAAGAAATATCAAGTGAGACAAAAAGTGCAGATACCATAGAAATGAACTAGTTATTGTGGTATGGCCACATTATGAGAATGGGCGAAGAACGGTGCATTAAATTACACACCACAACATAGAAGAAAACGAAGAGGTCCGAACATTTCATGGCATGATGGTATCCGACAGATCATGAGAGACAGAACTTTGTAAGAGGAAAACTGGAGGAATAAAGAGCGATGAGGATCGAAATGCGGGAAGCATCAAAGGCTGTAGGAACCCCGCTTGTATGTATGAAAATACGTACGTATCTTAACCCTAGAACTGCACACTGGGGTGTCAGATACCCACACAATCATATTTTTGCATCTAGTTTGCGCAAGTGTAGAAATTTAGCAGATTTTGGTCCATGTCAGTATCCAGTGAGAAGTCTACGTCATTACTGCCGATTTTCATGTTACATCGACTAAGATTGACGAATGGGTATGTCACACCCCAGGGTGCAGTTTACGGTGAATAAATTATTTTGAAAACTTTTTCAGAATATGGCACAGTCACAGTACGAAATGAGCCGCCCTCTAACGGAACAAGAACTTCAAGCCGAGGTAGATAATATATGGGCGAATGAAGCAGAATCAGATACAAATGAAGATGTTTTTGGAGATTTTTCGAATAGCGATGAGTATGTTGTAGAGGAATAGTCTAACAGTCAAAGCGATGGGAGTGATTCAGAGCCAGAGATGGAACCAGAACCACCAGTAAGAAATGTGTCTTTCATAAAGGGAAAAAATGGTCATCGTTGGAGTTTGAATCCGCCGGATCGGAGATGTCGCACAAGGCAAGAAAATATTGTTTTACATCTGCCCGGCCCAAAGCACGAAGCCAGAACTGTAAGTTCTCCAATTGAGGTTTCGGAATTATTGTTTAGTAACCAAATACTGAAGATTATTTTATTCTATACAAATGAAGAGATTTCAAAGTAATGTTCAGAAAATTTGTCACAGACCTACAAAAAGCCAACTAACATTATAGAGATAAAAGCTATTATTGTATCTTGCTGGAGCGCTAAGGGTTTCAAACTGTAATTTGGACGAATTATGGTCGATAAAATATGGGGATGACTTATTGAGAGCCACTATGTCCCAGCTGAGATTTCGGTTTTTAGCGCAATGCTTAAGGTTTGATGACAAAAGTACTAGGAAAGAAAGGAAAGAGGCAGACAAATTTGCGCATATTCGTGAAATTTGGGATCACTTTGTCCAACATTGCAAATCCTACTGCACTCCATATGAAAACTGTACTGTGGACGAACAACTGGTGGGGTTTCGAGGAACATGCCCATCTATTGTATATAACCAAAGTAAGCCTGATAAGTATGGAGTAAAGATAGTAATGATGAATGACTCAAAAACTTTCTATATGATAAACGCTATTCCATATGTAGGTAAAGTTAAGGTTGAAAATAAAGAACCAGTGCCTTCTTACTACGTAAGAAAACTGCCAGAACCAATGTACGGAACCGGGCGTAATATCACTATGGATAATTGGTTCACATCCATTCCTCTAGCAGATGAAATACTTGAACATCATCAACTTACAATCTTGGGTACCCTACGCAAAAATAAAAGAGAAATTCCACCAAGTTTTTTGACCAAAAAAGATGTAGGTACAGCTCTTTTTGCGTACGACGAAAAAAAAAAACACTTCTTTCATTTACTCCAAAGAAAAAGAAACTTGTTTTGGTATTGACTATATTACACATCGATTCATCCATAAATCCAGATACCCTAAAACCAAATATAATTTATTCCTACAATGAAACTAAAGGTGGAACCCACACTTTTGATCAGCTCTGTCACTCATATACAACATCAACGAGTAGGTGGCTTCTGAGAACTTTTTTTTAACATGCTGGATGCTGCTGGTATAAATGCAAGGGTGCTTTTTCCCTCGCCAATCCGAAATGGAAAAGAGAACTCTAAAAATAATCGAAAATTTTTATAAAAGAATTGGTAAATTCACTGGTTGAACCCCATCTACGAGAGAGGCTACAAGTTACGACGTTACAAACTTCATTGCGCCGAAATATTAGCGACATTTTACGGCTAGATATTCCACAAAAAGATTATCCCCAGGTAATTCTGCCAAGACATGCTTGTGCTGGGTGTCATAGTCCCTATTGCATGGAACATAGGGCTAGACTTTGCTGCGAGTGTGAACATCACCACGAATGAACCAAATATTGCAGATTGTGGCTAAGAAAGGGTATAGGTATTATCGGAATCTGATGTTTTTTTTATATCAGATAAATATCTTTCCTTTGAAATTAAGAAAAAGTTTTGTAATATATTTCAAGATTTTTTTATATATTAATTTTTTATGACATTGTTGAAAAATGTGAATTTTTTTTATTTTTCGCAATAAAACATATTTAGCTAAGAACTCAATTATTTTTATACTATAAATATATAAACCGATATTCATTGACATTATTTCTTACAAAAATGAAACCGAATAATAAAATCTGCAATGAATATAAAAAAAATCTTTATGGGGTTACAGAAACCCCACTGTGCAGTTCATGTGTTAAAAAATGAGTGTGCAGTTCTAGGGTCAAGTCGGGTGTGAGTGTGGTGGCGCTGAGGCATAGGCGGCGCGTAGGGGCGCCGCTCAAGGTACATGAGTTTGAATGTTAGTTTTCGCCAACTTTTTGGAAATCCGGCATTTTCCAAAATTCTTATATCAAGTTTCGTCATGGTGGGTAGCCATTATTTCCATCCTACACCCCCAATGACCTGAATGTTATCAAAAGTAACATACTGTATCATATTCTGCAAATCACAGAGCGAAACTATTGATACGCCTATGGGACGCAGACCGACGTCGCGTCGTCAGCATGCCCACAGCCAACTGTGAAAACTCAACTCAAATTCTGTACTGAATGGAGTCCATTTCTGCGAACCGCGATTAGTTTCATAAATTAAAACGTGTAGGTAAATATTTACTGTTGCTAATTACAAGTAGGAGGGTCATATGGGACAATGACGATTTTTCTGTCTGTATACACAGGGCGATCAAAAAGTTTTTACGTTTACTAAATTTTCATTGGTTGTGCAGTAGCAAACTTTATGGAATAACAAGAAGTTGGGCCATCCCTGACAAGTTTACTTTGTACTTTACTCCTCCTCGCTACACTTCGTCCCTTTATTTGCAAAAAAGCAAATGACTAAAAATGGTTTTTTATTCTCAAACGACTGGAAATTTTGCTTACGCGTCTTACTGAGAGAAAATAGGACACCTTACTAATTCCTGCTAAACGTTTCATACACTCATTATTAATTTTATGATTATTATAATGCTGAACAAGTTTCACAAAGTCTATGTTCTAAACATTTCTATAATTGAGTCAGCCATTTTAGAAACCACTCATGACATATTTTTTCCAACATGCTTTGTTTACTGAAAACGGTTTCTTAAACGTAGATGAATAATCTGGGTATAACCCACTAAGTCAATACATTTCTTCCTTCTCAAGTGACAGCGCATAATAGACGTTCATTCCATAAACAACATTTCAGTGGATGTAACATCTGACACTAATCATGTGGTTGTCGCACTCATCAATGTCCATATTCTGCTGGCTGCTAAATGAAATCACATAGTTACCAACGTTTTCTATTTTCATTGTCAAAACTCAAATATTATGTCAAGCTAATGAAAGTCCTCTAAAACTCGTTTATTTGTGAAAGACAGTTTTTAGAGACTTCTGAAAATTCAAATTGTCTGAATTATGAGGTTTTTAAAATGTTTTCTTTTACTAAATGAAGTAACATCTTAAAAAAAAGCCTTGAGATGATAGAAACCACGGATTTGTCAAATCTGACATTTCCTTGCCTATCAAATTTCATATGGTAGAGTAATTTAGACATATCTTTTTGACAAACTTAAACTAATACAGGAACATATCATGTTTCTCATAAGGGTTTGTATAAATCTTATATGGATTATCTCAGGAATTAAATGGTAGATTTATATTCATTATTTACACGTCAGATCGATCAATGAATAATTATAAAAACAAGCATTTCGGTCTATGCAGATGACAGCAAGGCTATTTGGAAGTACTGCATTGCAAGAGGTCGAAATTGAAAATCCCAATTGCCACCGAGAAATGGCAAATGTCACTGTCCATGCAAAAAAGTGCACAATACTTCATATTGGGAGAACAAATCCATATAAACTACATACAGTACTCGTAAGAGGCAGGTAGACATTGAAAATGTACAGTACCAGAATGACTTAGGAGTTATAATAGTACATAATTTAAAATGGGAAGCTCATATTATCTTCGAAATTAAAGAAGTCTACTTAGTGACATATTTGATTGAAAAAACTTTTAAAAACCATTCTCCTGCTGAGATAGAAAAGCTATATAAGATGTACGTATACATTGTACCACAACTTGAACATGCACACAGCGTATGGAGTCAGTATTTTGTCAAAAACATAACTAAAGTAAGTAAAATAACGCGAATTCCACAGAGAGATTCGACATTTGCCATATAAACAACGTCTAAGGGCTATGTTTGACAACACTCGTTGAGCGAAGAAAGAATACGAGGGAATCTCACATTCAGATCATCAGTGGCTTCTAATCATGTACCCTCCAAATATTCGATATGAGTCAGAATTTTCTCCTAAGGAATTCAAAAAAAATATATAAAAAAGAGAACATCTAAATGGATAAGGAGAAATTTCATTTCAAATCGTGCGGCATGCTGTTAGTGAAGAAACAGTGAGTACAACATGTCAATTGTTGAAGTGAGGAAGTCAAAATTTAAAGCTGTCAGTCACTTCACGATATGACCAGTCATTTCGCATCGGGCTTGACTACAACGTACGAGTTAAATAAACTTGTATGATGAGAAAGCAAGATCAGCTTAAATCAGTAATGTGTATGTGTTATCGTAGGCAATTCATATTTGGATACTTTATTGGAAACCCGTTGTACCTAGGCAAGAAAAAATGCTTACATTACTCAATAAATTAAAAAACCAAATTTGACTGATGAAATAATAAAAAGCAGATGGCATTGTGCAATTTAATCAATGGTTTATATTTTATGTGTTTAGTGAACAACCGTCTAGATTTCGGTTTCAGTGATGAGTGAAATAATAATGTTATGTCTGAAAGAATGATAAAAAACTTTTTTGTGTAAATAAACATCTACTAGATTGAAATCAGACATTCAAGCTAGACACATACGTACCTAAACATTTATGTCTAAAACATGCAACGATACTGCGTTTGATTATCCAAAGTGTCAAAATAATGAGTTTAAGCATTTGAGAGTAATTTGCAGTTTTATTATCATGGAATGTGCAAAAAATATACGAGTTGTGTAACAGGAGCCTTTAATCCACATATTAAATCAAGAACTTCTTTATAAACCACCCGGTTTAGGTACAAAATTGTGTCCACTTAATACGTGGTTCAAAACTTATGAACCACATCAAAAATGACTAATTAGAAAGCGTTTTCGTAAAGCTGCATCAAAAATTGGCCAAACGGAATCAAGTATCATAAACTCACCTTATAAATGACAGAACCAAATTTAAAACAAAAATAAACACCTGAAAAAATGAGAAAAAAGATATATCGGTTGTTAATTAATCCGCATGTCGTCTTTCAAGTTAAATAGAGATGTTTTTGGTTTATAATTATTTTAAACATCTTGATTTCTGCTTTATTAAATTTTGTACCCTTCAAATATTCAATATGAGTCAGAATTTTCTCCTAAGGAATTCCAAAAAAATATAAAAAAGAGAACATCTAAATGGATAAGGAGAAATTTCATTTCAAATCGTGTGTCATACTCTTAGTGAAGAAA